CAAATAGCCATCAACCTACACTCTCTAGCCTGACTTTAGACACACTAAACTCATCATAACACTTGACTTTAAGCTTACCTATCAGCCAAGAAAGCCCTTTTGAAAGATTGGATCCAAAAAAGCAAATCTTTTCTCCAAATCTGCCCACTACCCCCATTTTTCTATAAATAGAGGCACTCCCCACCTCACCCAAGACACAAGAAATCTTATAAAAACCAGAGAAGTTGAAAGCTCACCCTTTTTCACTCTTTGCTCCATTTTCACCAAAATCACAAAACCACCAAAACACCTCAAAATCTGTCTTGACAGTCCAGCTGCCATATTCATTTCCCTACACTCAAACTCACCAAAGATCATCCACACAATCCATAAATATGGTATAGAAGGTGTCCAAGCCCTTAGACCACTCAAAAACCTCACCATTTCAAAAGTCAACTTCCATACCAAGCAACTTTGACCACAATGCACAAAATCAGTCAAAACTTGTTCTAGGCATTTGCTTGATGTTCTAATCACTCAAACACCTCATATATATCATATCTCAACTGTCCAAAGCATTGAGGATCATTGGTGTAACTTATTTCTCCAACTGTCTTAAGGATTGCAATCTTGCTTCACAAAGAAGAAATCTCCAAAGCTAGGTGCATTTGAAGTTCCTCTGGGTTTCTTGGTGTTTCAATCTGCTCAACATAGTCTACAAGAGGTATGTAGACAATCAACCCCCTCATTTATATCATAATCTCATGTTTGGCATTTTTGAGCTTGTGGTAGTGTTGAAAAGTGCCACTTTCATGTCATATGTCAAAATTCTGTTTTGGAGGCAATATGTTTGATTGGTGAGTTGGATCATGCTCAATTCCTTATTTATGTGTATATGTGATTGGTATGACCTGTTTCAATTGTTCTTTTACTTTTCACATCCAAATGCCTCATTTGCATCTTAATGGCCACCAACATGTCAAAACTGTTTCCATTTGGATTATGCTTGTTTTTTTTGAGATTACTTACACTTAACCTTATATTTGTGATGTGTATGGATAGATTGAATGGTCTATTTTCATCTGGTACATGTTTTCACCTCAAAAATGCATTTACCAAAACAAACTGCCATGAGATATACCAAAACCTGTTTGGTTTACCATGTAATTGTTTTCCTTGCTTGAACACACTCAATATCATGTATGTAACTTGTGTATATGTTTAACTTGACTCGTATGTGCATAGAATGAGAACTGCACATCATCATGCATCTACACTCATGACATTTGCAACTTGAGCACCTTTTTTCACAACAGTTTATTTTTAACCTGAATTTGTGTTGGAAATCATTCATTAGCATTTTTATGGTATGTGTGTATAGTTGGTTTGACCTGAGATTGCTTGTAACCTGAGTTTCATTTCAAAATGCATTTCAAATGATAACATAGCACACACTATCGGGTTTTAAAATTGGGACTTGATCTTGAAAAACCAATAATGCCATCATGGTCCTCATTCAAAAACACACAATTTAGACCTAAATTTTGTGAAAAACCATTGAGAATTGACTGAGTTACACTTGAAAATGCATCATGTTCATTTCATAAAGACACCCTGCTGCTCCAACATTAAACCAAACTGTTTTTGCATCAAACCTGCCATTTTTACTCAAACTGACTTTGTGGTTGATCTTTATGTTCAAATTCATGTATCAACATGTGTATATGAGCTGTTTGATCCATTTGTGCATATAACTGTTTTTAAATTCCTTCATACCTCATCAAATGGACAAAAAGGCAACTTGCATACAATTTTTCATACCAGCTTGTTTTGAAGTCATTTTGGTGTTGGAACTCATTTGTGAGTATATTTGGAAGGTGTGTGCATGATTGATTTGACTTGAATATGCCTAAAACTGATTTTGGATTTTTCATGCATCTCAAAGTGGTAAAGAGCAGTTTGAATGTCATTTTCTGCCATAGACTGTTTTGGACTAGTTTTTGTGTTTGTTCTCATTCATTACCATGTATGTAATGTGTGTATGTGATTCACTTGACCAAAGTATGCATAAAACTGGTTTTGACTTTTCATGGACACCTCAAAATGCCAAAACTGCAGCCTGAATACCATCTTCAACCACAGACTCTTTTGAGCCATTTCTTATGTTTAAGTTCACTTCTTACCATGAATATGATGTGTATGTGTGATCTAATTGGTCTGATTATGCTTTGAACATGAAATGAACATCTTTGTGCATCATACTTGTCAAAGTTTGCAACTAGAAAGCCATTTTTTATAACAGTCCATTTTGAACCAATCTTGGTGTTTTAAATCATTCAATAGCATGTATGTGACTTGTGTATATGTTTAACTTGACTTGTATGTGCATAGAATGAGAACTGAACATCCTCATGCATCATAAACATCAAAATTGCAACTCAGACCTCATTCTTTGTAACAGTCCTTTTAAAACTCCAAATTGTGTTTGAATCTACTCAATATCATGTATGTGTGGTGTGTATATGGTTAGTTTAACCTGAAAGTGTTTGGAACTAAAACTGCACATCTTCATGCAATTCACACACACAAACTTGCATTCTAAACACTACATTTCATACCAGTAAGTTTTAAGCCCTACCTTGTGTCCAATCTTATCCACTAGCATGTATTCAATGTGTGTAAGTGTTTAATTTGGTCAAAATGTACATAGAAACAGAACTGAACCTCAGCCTGCATTTTATTCAAATCAAATTGCAACTTGACAGTCCATTTTCATGACAGCTCGCTTTCAAATCTATTTTGTGCACACACTCACTCAATAACATATTTGTAGTGTGTATGTATGTTTGTTTTGGTTTAAAACTGGCTGTAGTATGAGCTTCATCCCAAAATGCATCTCAAAACACCAATGTGCATGTACTATCGGGTTTTTAGTTTGAAGCATGATCTCAAAAAACCAATGATGCCATCATGTTCTTCATTTAATTCCACATGATTTAGACTAAAATTTTGCAAAAATCCATTAAGAACTAAGGAAGTTACATGTGAAAATGGAAATCATGATTTTTCCTTGTTTTGGCCCAGCCTGCCTAGAAAGCATCCCTTATATATTTATGGGGTGGCATTTTTACTTGGATGTACAGTCACCCCAGTCGTAATCACCTTGTCACCTAAGCGCCTTGTACCAAATGAACCTGGGTTTGACCCCTGAGGAGGGCAACCCTTTTGTAATTTTTCACCATTATTTTACCAAACTTCCAAAAATCATATCTCCTTCATTTTTTATCATTTTGCACCCATTCTTTTTTAATTGTGTTTGTTTTTATGTCTATTTTTATGTAGTATTTTAAAATTCCATGTTTTCCCAATTTTGCATCCATTTTAACCACTTGCAAGTTAAGTATGTTTTGTGATCATTTTTCACGTACGCAGATGAATTCTTTCTTGTTATACTTGTGATTGTTTGTGATATTTGTTTACATTCATATCCTTAAATGTTAGTCAACATGCTAGGATTTTATTTTTGGTTGTTACCATGTTTATTTTGTCCCCTCTGAGGAATGTACTTAAGCTCGATCTGTCGTCACATTTCCTGCTCGATCAGTTGCTTTGATTGTCATCAATGCGTATCTTGTTTTTATCTTTAACATATTCATTCAATGTTTGTCACCATGCTTTTATCTTCATCATGTTTAGTACTTTGATTAAGTGTTTTCTTTCCCCAAGTGATGAAGCTTGTTAGCTTTCATCCAAGTTGCCTCCCCTCTCTCCTTCCAAAGGAAAAGTCTTTCCATTAACCTTTATGTCAGGGATAGCTCATTCACCCCCTTCTTGACTTTGCTAAGTCACTTTAACCTTAGTTTAGAAACCATTAGACTTTGCTTTAAGTCTAAGAAATCCACCTGTACTAGGAGTGTTCTTCAACTAGAACCCTAGGATAGAGTTTGTCAACTCTATGTAAGAATCATTGTCATGATTTCTTACTTCCCCTTTTGAGTGTTACAACTTAGATTAGGGAGTTTTTTCAAACTCCACACAAACATTGTCATGTTTGTTTCCCTTTGAACCTTGATCATAATCAAGTGTTCTTCATCCCTTGTGAGGTGAACTACGATTGCTCTGATTCTATCCTAGTTAAGATACGTAGGCAAAAGATGCGATGTCTTTGCGAGCAAACTTAGAAAACCATCTAGGTCTTTACCTATCCCTTATCCTAATCCCAAACCATAGCACATTTCACAAACTTAGCAAGCAATCAAACAAAAGGTTCCTGTAGAGTACTACAGATGCTTAGGGTGCTAACACCTTCCCTAGGTATAACCAACCCCCGATCCCCGAATCTCTTAAGCGTTGTCGTTACATCGCGAAAAAGGTTTTTCTTTCTTTAGACCTTTCCTTTGGATAAAATAAAGTTCGGTTGTAAAAGAATTAAGATTCAAGTTAATATAATAGCTTGATATCCAATATTCACCGCAACACGTTCCACCTTCATTTTTTTTACGGTAGGTGTTTTAGGCATGCACCCTCAACTATGTCTACTCGACCTTACCTTATTTTTTACAAACTTTTAGGAAGCGGACTTAAAGTGAACGTGCATGTCAGTCTGTGACCCCTACGTGATTTCCATAGTGCTCACAAAATATCAAATCTGTTATTAGCTTTGATCTTCTAAATTGTCATTAATGTAAATAACTATTAATATTTATAAATTAACAATTTTAAAAAATATGTAAATTCTTTGGAATCCATGATTTTAAGTTGGGTATCGGTAGTAGTGCAAATTGTTTTGAAATTTTAATTTATTTTAAAGTAAAAAAAAAAAAAAAAAAAAAAAAAAACTTCTATATTGTATATTCTAAACCCGGAGGAAATGCCGGATAAATCGAGGGATTAACATGTTCCATGTGATGACGGAAGAATCAAAATTTCAGTTTTAAAATCCGTTTACTTGCATTATCTCCATTTTCAGTACTTGCATATACCATACTATCAAAAACCATTATCCTCATTAGTTAACAATCATGGCTCAATCTCTCTTTTTCACAGTGAAGAGGCGTACCCCTGAACTTGTCACTCCATCGAAGCCCACACCTTGTGAAATAAAATTACTCTCAGATATTGATGACTGTGATTTTTTACGTTTTCATGTTCCTGGTTTACAATTTTACAAGTATGATCCAAATATGGCAGGGAGAGACCCTGTTGATGTTATTAGAAAAGCACTTGCGAAAATGCTCGTGTTTTATTATCCATTTGCAGGTAGGTTGAGGGAAGGAGCTGGCAGGAAACTTATGGTTGACTGTACTGGAGAAGGTGTTTTGTTTATTGAAGCTGATGCTGATGTTACTCTTAACGATTTCGGCGACAATCTTCTTCCTCCATTTCCTTGCTTGGATGAGCTTCTTTACGATGTTCCTGGATCTTCAAACATACTTAACACTCCATTGCTGCTTATTCAGGTATTGAATTGTTTTATTTTTTATTTTAATAAATTTTTTATGCAATATTTGGATACTTGAATTGTTACCATGTGTAGGTAACACGCCTCAAGTGTGGTGGTTTCATTTTTGCTCATCGTACAAACCATACAATGAGTGATGCAACAGGTATAGCTCAATTCATGAATGCCTTAGCTGAAATATCTCGTGGGATGAATGGACCTTCAATCTCACCAGTGTGGTGCCGAGAGCTTCTAAGAGCAAGAGAACCACCAAGAGTGACATGTATTCATCCTGAAATTGAACAGGAACCTCGTAACAGTGGAACCATCATATCCTTCGACAATTTGGTTCAACGCACTTTTTTCTTTGGTCCGGTTGAGCTAGCCAAAATTCACTCTCTCCTTCCAACCAACATGGTACACAAGTACACCAAATTTGAAATCATCACCGCATTCGTTTGGCGTTATCGTACAATAGCATTACAACCAGATTCAGACGAAGAAGTTCGTATCATTAGCATTGTCAATGCACGTAGCAAATCCTTTAACCTACAACTACCAAATGGTTACTATGGTAATGTTATTATGAATCCTGTTGCAGTGACTTCAGCTAGAAAATTAATTGAAAATCCATTGGAGTATGCATTGGATTTAATTAAAAAATCGAAAGCTAAGGTCACCAAAGAGTATATTCATTCATTTGCAGATTTAATGGTTATCAAGGGTCGACCTAACTTTTCCAAGAGGGGATTGTTTTTAGTGACGAATGTTACACATGCTGGAGTTAAAGATGTTGATTTTGGTTGGGGGAAACCTGTTTATGGTGGACCCGCAAAAGGTAGTACTTTTCCTGGCATTTCTAGCTATTACATACCTTTCACAAATGGTACGGGAGAGAAAGGCTTGGTTATACCGCTTGGTTTACCAGCTCAAGCCATGGAGAGGTTGGTTAAGGAGCTTGATAGTGTGCTTAAGGGAAACAATAAGGGTGATTCAACATCTCGTATCATTAAATCGTTGTTGTAGTCTTTAACAAATATTGGTTTGTTCTGTAATTGGTTGCTGGGATGTCTTTTCCTTCTGCTTGTCTTTGTTGTTGTTGGCTGTTTGCTGTAGTTCTTACCTTTGTTTTAAAAAAACTCACAACTTAGTCAATGTTTGTTGTAGTTTACCTTTAGGATAATTTATTTATTTTGTATAAATTATTTTTGTTATGCATCCATGTACTTTTAGGATATGTGTTTAAGAGCTTCTTTAGTATTTAAATGAATTGCAAGCTTGCCATGAGAGAAAATTCATAGAGTTGTGTTCATCTTTCCATTTTTTCTCCACGTTGTGCATCTCTTAGGCACCACACTATGTTAAACTTGTAAGAATGATCGTTTCAGTTTTTTTTAATTTTTAGATTCAGGCATTTAATGTGACATGTTTCTGTTAGACTATGGCACAGATCTAGAAGGGGGGTTGAATAGATCCCAATTAAAAATTTGAGTCGGCGTACCAATTTAAAAATTGGTTTTGAAAATATGTTTTAAGTGCGGAAGCTGCCGAGGAAAATATAGTCTATAACGAACGGTTATTGGAAAATCGGATATGCGATAAGCCTTTGGATTAATGACAATATGGAAAAGAGAATCACAACACTAATCACACTTATCAATGATCTAATTCACTTGTTAGGATTCCTAGTTCCAATGATTTAATGAGCAAACCAAAACTAGATACACAAGTAAGATAATTTTGGTTTAGGCAATTTGTTAACCACTTGGTGTGCAAAACACTCCAAGTGATATTTATGTTGAGTAAGTGATTCCAACTAGCCTAGTACAATGTCTTATTGTACTTTGGATTCAAAAATAGAGTTTTAACCTCTTACTCAATTGATATCACAGTTTGACAATAGTGCTTATACAAAAATCACTTATTTTTAAGCTAAAACGGAAATGCTGAAAAATAGATAAGACAAGTATTTGGTGAGGCAGTTCCCCCGTCGTCCTCGCTTCGGGGTACGTCTGCCCTCAATTCTAAAACTAGAATTGAGATAGATTTAATAGATATCACCTGTTGAATGTAACCGTTTATACAAGGATTGAACAACAAATATACAACAGAAATCTCAAGACGTTGAATGTTGCTTTCACTACTTGCCCCTTGATTCAAGATGAATCAAGTCCTCCGATCGTTGTTGATAGACCTCCGATTCCAGCCACCTTATTGAATAACCCTTTGTTGTTCAAACCTTCGGCTCCGGCTGATCTCAATTACAACGAATCGAACCCGAGATCTTCCCCTCAATATCACTGAATCCGCTACTAGACTGTTGAAGAACACCTCTTCACAATCACCTTCGCTCAGTTGACCCTTGATGAAGAATCTCGTCCAAAAACCCCCAAAATTCAAACCAATCTTAGAGGATAAAACCCTAACGATTTTATTCATGAAAGAACCTGTCACAAGCTTCAACCAGAACTAGATTACCCAATCTAAGCTTCAAACCTTATCACCTTTAATCATTCACAATGCACTTCAAAAATGGCTGTGTGTAATTGATGTGTGGTGAGATGTTGAAGATGAAGATGAAGAATCTTGAACACCTATTTCAGTCTTTCTTATTCTTGAACATATGAATCAGTTTTTATCAAATGCTAAAATGACATAAGTGGTTGAACATGTATATATAGTACCATACCAACCAAAGACATAACAGCTTTTCAAATAGTAGAGGGAATCACTTAAAAACGGTATTTCCACGCGAACGGTCGAACGCATCAGGTCTGTGCGTCGACGCATAGCCTGCGTTTTTTGGAAATCTGCAAAATGTATCAGTATGCGTCGACCATACAGTCGGCGTGCGCTGACCCGTTGAAAAGTATTTCCTTCATGCGCCCACCCTATGTTCGACTCATCCCTTCATGCGCTGACCATTGGAAAAATGCACTGATGCACGCGCCGACCCTATGGTCGACTCATGCCCTGCAAACCTGCAAAAATTGATCTTCTTGTGGTTTTTCATGCCTCTTGTCACGACCACATTTTATCTACACATATTATATTTATTATAACAGTTTTTAGACAAATATAAAAGGATATGGTAGGTGATACGTTGCATTTGCTTAGTAGAGTTGGAGTTTATAATTGCCAATTCATCCATGGTTGTAATTTGTCATCATCTAAACATATATCGAGTGATGTCTTGCAGACTCGTGTGATGTGTGGCGATTTGCCTTCACATTCTCCCCCTTTTGATGATGACAACCTGTATACAACCAAAACAACGAAAAACACACCAATATGCAACAATATGCAATGTATACACAAGCTCCCCCTTTCTTTTGTAATATGAGGCTACAAAACAAACAACCATCAACTATTTGTTGTGAATATCCTGGCTTGGCTTTGGTGCTTGCTGCATGTTCTTCTCCCCCTTTGACAACATCAAAAAGAGAAAGAGAACTCGTCAATTAACAGAAAAAAAACATACAATAGGTGATAGCTAGTCAATTACCAAACTTCACACATAAGAGTGATAATGAACAAAAAAAACTGGAATTAATAGATAGTGAAGAGAATACATGCAAATGGGTGAATATTCAGACAAACATAACACGGAATAACGGAAAGTACACAGAAAAAAAAATGCAACTATGTAACTAATATCCCCGGCCCCGACCTCGGCCCCTCCCCCGGTATGCAATATTTGGATTGCGGTGAGTATCCGAGAAGTCCACAAACGCTTCCACGGACATGTTGAGGTGATGGAGACTGTCGGTGATTTCCATGTCTTGCCTTTCATTTGATGCAACAAGAGCTTCAAAGCGGGAATCCATCCTAGTTGAAAATGAATTTAACCTTTCATTTTGAGTACAAAGCTCAGCTCTGATCTGTTCCATTCGCGTATCTTGACTCCTCATGAAGGTCTATTGATCTAGCTGCATGGACTGCAGCATATTTAGTATTTCAGAGTTGTCCGATGGTGGAGGAGGTGATGAGTGCTGAGAAGGTTGATGATCTTGAGGGTAGCCGTGATATGGATCGTAGAATCTACCCAGGGTGGTCCAGCCTGTGTACTACCATTCACCCCATCCCTGATTTGTGTAACCTTCTTCCTGTTCTTCAGATGGAGCTGAAATTTTGGAGCCAATCATTATTCGGAATCTCATGTTGAACCGGCGATTGATAATAGTCTTGTGTCTCGCATACGGGTTCCTGTACCTCTTCTGCTGCATTTTCTTCATCATCTTCCTGTTCATCTGGCTCTTCGCTTTCGTGTTCAGAACTGTCATCAGATTCATGAGTCACCCCAGGAATGTTTGCTCGACGAACAAACTTGTATGTCTGTCGTTCATCACACCAAAAATATCCCATCATGGCAAAGGTTTTGGTACTGAATTCTTTGTTAGAGGATACTGAAACACAAGGAAATGATGGGTATACAACATTTGCTGCGGTGAGAACTTCCGAGATAAACGACCCATACGCTAGAGCAGTGCCTCGACCTGAATCTCTCAGAGCAAAAATCCTGCTTGCAATATAATATGGCCAGTTTATTTTGATCTTATGTTTCAAAATATAGATGAGATGTACATCAGCTTGTTCGACATGGGACAAGCCACCTTTTTTCGGTCGCAGGATGCGAGCGACAATCCACTGAAGGATGCGCTCCCCTGTTTGGAGTTTGCCTGCCGTAACCGTTCTAGGAAAGGCATCACTATTGACAATAACATCTGAATAGGGCCTTTTGAGCATGTCATTCAGAGCATTCTTAAACTCGTATCTCGGCACCATGCGAGAGTCCGTTACCTCATGAAGACGTGGTGCATCAGCAACTACAGTCAAATCAAAATACTTATTCCAGACTTCAGAATTTATGTTTACCAGTTTATTGCCGACAGAGGTGTGGAAATATTGACTTTGAAAGTTGTCACGCAGACTAGTGTAGAACACCCGGACTAAATCCTCACTGTATTTTGTGTTGCACTCCAGAAAGTTGAAGAACCCCTGAAACTCCAGCGGAGACATAATTTGGGTGAGATGCATACGCTCCGCCGTTGCCTTGTAAAATGCATGCTGCGGAACTACTACTCTTTTGCTGATATTCTTGTTGAAGTTTTCAACCGCAGGTGGATGAACTAGTGAAACAGCGGTAACGGGGACTGAAGCGGATGATGAGGCCCTTGATCTCTTTCCGGTATTTTTGAAAATTTAAAAAAAGAAAGAAAGAAAGCTGTCGACCATAACCCCTGCATGCGTCGATGCATACTGTGTGATTTTTGATAATTTTGAAAGTCTACAGCATGCGTCGACCGCTGCCCTGTTTTGGTCAACTCATAGTGATCAAAAACTCAGTTTTTCAGTTTATGTCATGTAGAATACCACACTTGATGCCTATTTACACTTTCACAATATAATTTGCATCCAAGACACATAGTATTTACAACAAATGTCATATATATAAATACCATGATAGTCAAACGATATACTAGTTTAAGTCATGAATGTTTAGAGAGAGAGAGAGAGAGAAAGAGAAGGAGCAATATCACCTCTATACCGACAACACTTGATAACAACATATTTGTGCTTGCACCAAAAGCTAAACTTGTTAGAAGTACAAGAGTATAGTTGTAAACCGAGTAATACGAAACTAGCAATCATTAAACCCGATCAGAAATGTCGAGAATGCCAAGTTCTCGACGGATATGAAAGAAAGGTTCAGTGGCTAGCGGCTTTGTGAAAATGTCCGCTAGTTGATTTTTGGTGTCAACGTGTTCAAAGACAACGTCACCTTTCTCTACATGATCCCTCAGAAAATGGTGTCGAATTTCTATATGTTTGGTACACGAATGTAACACCAGATTTTTGGTAAGGTTTATAGCACTAGTATTGTCACAAAATATTGGAACACATTCTAGTTTTAAATTGAAGTCCAATAGTTGCTGCATAAGCCATAGGACTTGCGCACAACAACTATCGGCGGCTACGTATTCCGCTTCAATGGTTGACAGAGCAACAGACACTTGTTTCTTGCT